TCTCTCCCTCTCTCTCTCTCTCCTTTTCCTTCACCCTCTATCTTCTTCTCTTTTACATTATTTTCTCTTTCTTTTCTCATTTTTCCTTCCATCGTTCTCTTTTTCCCCAGGCATTTTTCTAGGCCTCCAAAACAGAAGGTTCACGGTTGATACGCCCCCCCCCCCCCTCACCTCCATCCCGACCAGCCAGTAAATTAAACGTTAATGCAGGCAATACGCCTAACCTGCGCCGCGATTCGGTTAGTCCGTTGCCGACCCGTTACTCAGAATAGCAATCTTCATTTCATAAGTATGTTTCTTCTTTTCCCCCTTCTCTCTCTCTCTTTCCTTTTCCTCTCTTCGTCTCTTCTGCTTTTTTTCCTTCTCTTTCATTATGTTTTTAAAACCGATTCGGCCCTCACCTGAACCCGCCATTGTTTCTAAAGCTAAACAAATAAAATGATAAAATAGTGTCAATTTTCACTTTTCAGGATATCTTACATTCCTTTTGCCTTTTAATTTGTTTCTTTTAATTTCGTTTTAAACCGGGACTGCACTACTTGTAGCTACTTGCGCCCTCTTGAGCCGTCAATTTCAAAGCGGTAGGCCTACCCGTGATCCCCATGGTCCTTCTTTTTTTACTGAGAGCTGATTTGATGAGATAACCACCTGCCATTGACCATCCATGGAGGTATATTCCCTCCTGGCCAAACTAGTACAGATAGGCTTTAAAATAGAAATTCTGTATTTTCCTTAAAGGTACTATGTCCCTTTTGCAAGCCAAGAAAATGAAAAGGTTAAATTCCAGTGGCATTTGAAAGATAATACTAATTTAGAACTCCCCTTAAAAAAAATGGGGCTTGAAAATGTCTTTAAGTGGGAAAATAACGACAATTAGTTGTCAAATCGACTTTGGAGCTATAGAGCCAATAAGTAATAGTCTTGATTTTCAGACCATTGTACCACATGGTCGTACGTTTTATGCTGCGCAAAGATTCAATCAGTTAAATTTGGGCCATTACAAGAAGTGGGTTATTGTAGAAGACAAATCCTTTACAGCTCATTTTATGTATGTTATTACCAAAAAAAAAGAAAAAGCCAATCAGTCACTCAATACTGACAATAGTGTCTGACAGTGAAGTCTAGCAAGTAAACGGGTTTCCTTGCATAATTTGAATATAAGGACACTGCTCACGTTTAAATTTCACAGATAGGATATACATGACATATTCATAATTCCTGCAAAGTTCTACAGAATTTGAGGTTGGCTGCAAAAGGGACATAGTATCTTTAAAGTAAGGCAATTAGAAACTCAGTCCCAGGCGGTCCTGATCGGCATGCCCTGTGGTCCAGACTTTGAGAAACCCTGCTCTAGACCATTAACAAATCATGTATGCATTTATTTATTTATTTCAACCAATCTTAATTCAGTGATTCGTTCATGTAAAATTTGTATGGGGCATGGCAATGGGGAGCAAATATGTGTTAAACATCATGTAGGCCTATAAAGGTATACAATCATGTAGCCCTATGCATTTTTTTTTTCAGCCAATCAAAATTCAGAGATTCGTTCATGTAAAATGTGTATGGGGCATGGAAAAGGGGAGCAAATATGTGTTAAACAACCCCCTCCCCCCTTCCCAAACATTTTATTTGTTGATTGTATTGGTTTTCTTAGACTTGTGCCCGTAAAAGAAACTGGCGCCTTCTATGTCATTTTGAAACCCGGATGTACAACACAATTTATAACCAAATGACCAAATTTTACATCATAACATAAAAATCATTTTTAATGAACTCTTCGGGCCGTGTGGAACGATCTGGAAGATGAAAAGTGTTCGAGAGCAAAAACTGACAAGCACAATTCATGTAAGAAAGATATAAATATTTATTAAAAAATACCAACATGGCATACAATTTGGTTCTAACAAATGAAGAATAAGATTTGTAAGTATATTGTCACTCAATATTTTTTAAAGGTAAATCATACTATACGCAATGATTCATATACACGTATACTTCGGTGAGAAAAATATTAACAAGTATTTTTCTGATTACACAATATTTGTGGCATGGTTTGTTATTTATGGGCATTTATATACATTTATAGAAATGAGATGAAGTATCTACACTGTTGGTCATAATGGTGGAATATTTATTTTCACCCCAATTTATTGAATGATTTTGACAATGATTTATTCCTTATAGATCTAGATAATAGTATACATTCTCAGATTTTATTGAATGACATTTGGGGAGTGTTTGTTGTGCGTGACTGCTAAAGCATGTGTGTGCTACTATGCTAATCAACTAGGGGACCTACGTGATTAAGTCATATCTGACAGTAACGTGGATGTTTTGCATTTTCTTTGTTTCGACGCCCCCACAAAAACAAACAAACAAAATGCAAAACATTTTCAATAATTCATTGCATTTTCTCCCAGTCCCCAACAGGAAAAATTCCTCTGTAGGGCCATGCATTATGGTTCAAGGCATGCCCACATAGAAACAAAAATTATGTTGGAGTTCGGGGCAAAATGCAATGAATTATTGAACATTTATTGCATTTTCTTTGTTTTTTTGTTTTTGTGGGGGCGTCGATGTACCCTAACGCTTGCTGCGTATAGTCATGAATCATTGGCTAAGCAATGGCCTCGTTATTGTGAACCCCCAGGATCAAAACCGTGTCGATGTGCTATATTAGTGCCCTTTTATGAGGCATTAGTCCCCATTACTGTCAGTTATGACTTATGGACGTAGGTCCCCTAGTTGATTTGCATAGTAGCACACACATGCTTTAGCAGTCACGCAAAACAAACACTCCCCAATTGTCATTCGATAACATCTGAGAATGTATACTATTATCTAAATCTATTAGGAATAAATCATTGTCAAAATCATTCAATAAATAGGGGTAAAAATAAATATTCCACCATTATGACCAACAGTGTAATTATCTCCCACAAATAAAGTGTCTAAAGCCAAGGAATGGGCTCATTTATGGGCTCGATGGACTTGACTGACACCTGTTTGTTGCAAAGTTCAAGCTTTAATTATTTGTTTAATACTACGTTATTCATTTCATCACCATTATTTTATTAAAATTGCTTTTTTTTTTCCCTTCTTTGCCATGACAATTACAGCTGCTTTATATTAAAAGAAAAACCCGTCAAAGCGATAAGGAAAGCATTTAAAGTTTTTAAACTAATCAACATAAACAAGGAACGAATAAATTAAATTCTAAAAAGGAAAATTTCTAGGTTCAATTTTACCCCCACCCCCTCCTCCCTCCTTGTGATGAACAGCTATGCAAAACTAGCTATTTTTAACGTCCTGTTGAGCATGTTTGGGTGTAAGGTATAGGGGCATCTTTTCGCCAGGAGTCTGACGATTTCTTCCAAATGTTAACCTTCTAGTTTCTCAATTCTGTGCGTAGCAAGCGAGCAAGCAAAACATTTGACATGATATACACAAATTACAACGTAATTTCTTCATCAAAGTATTACAAATCGACCGCCACGCTGCCCAAATGTTAGGTGACGGTATATCACGGTCCGAATATTGGAAATTCCCAGCCCGGCCCCAGCATCCCGACCTCGTAGCTACATACTGACGAATTATTCATTCTATGTGATTACAGATTCAACTCACATGTCTATGAAAATGGAAACTGAAATTTCGAATTAAAATATAGGAGTTCGAATATTGCATTTTTACTCTCCCGAGATTCACGTCAGTGATCGCTCGATTTTTGTTATAGAGAGAATATTTTTTTTTACAGACAGCCCATACATGTATTTGTTTGCATCTCTATCATTTGGTTATACATTCGAAAAAGACTTGAACATATTATAACATGGCTGTGTTCTTTTTAGACTTCTGTAAACATTATGGTAAATCTTTAACGTTTATTCATGCTTACATTATTTTATCTTTTGGAAAAAATATGAACAAATGACCCTAAAGTGAACAAAAAGTATATATCAGTATTGACACAGGAGGATATAATTTTGCTTGTACCAAACCAAGATGATTCTATATTAATGAATTAACTCGTTGCACCTCACAACACAGGAATACTCAAAGCAGCAATCGGACCCTGTTTCATGAAACTTGTTATCAATAACAAATGCTAAAATTGTATGACAAACTGACTCTCAGTCAATCGGGTGCCACGATTTCAATAGCTTATAACAGCTATTGTTACTTGTTATTGATAACACAAGTTTCATGAAACAGGGTCCTGTATTAAAACAATCAAACTAATTATTCGTTACCATAAGAAAGAGTTGACATCGAAGTAGACATGAGGTTTAAATGTGAAGATGTCCGTAGATTATTACTGTGGTCATTTTGTGTTTAATGAATCTCCCTTCACCTATACATTCTGTTCAATATGCGCATAAATTAACATAATTTGTACATGAATACATGAATACATGAATATGTATAAGGTTAGCCACACGTGTGGCTAATATCTCTTACCAATGAATAATTTTGAGTGATGTAATTTCTTCTTCAAAATAAACATTTATAAAATCGAATAAAACACCTCACTGCCAGATGATCAGGTGGAGGTAAGGCTACCTGATTGATAATTTCGAAATTCTCCGAAGAGGGGACTGTAGCTCCTTACCTCTTTCTACCCCGTATAACGATACAGTTGTAATAATAATAATAAAAATGATTACAATAATGATAACATTAATAGTAATAGCAACAATAATACTATAATGATAATAACATTAGTGATAAAAATAACAACACTGAATCTGATAGTAATAAAAATTTTGTTTATCTTTTTTCACCCAGGGTAGTCTCATCAGGAATTGATACTTATCACTCCGGGTTGCCCTGCAATAAGATTGTTACCCCGGTTTCATTGTATGAATCAATATTCCTACCGGGTACCAATTTACTTCACCTGGGTGGAGAGTGGCGAAAGCAGAAATACAGCTGTTACAGGATAGGTAATTCATCTTGTTCGAGCCTCTGTATACACCGCAGAAGTCCTTGTTTCTTCAAACTGTGTAGTTCAAAGGGATGCGACACATCACTCTTTTCACTGCTTCTCGGAATCGTTTGTTAAAAATGCTAAAAATGAAGGCGTTCATCCAACTATTGGAGAGCAGCAAAACAGTTGAGATATACCTGGCCAAAGGTAATGTGATGGCGGTTTTGTGGCTGAAATGCGATGCGGAGATGATGAACCACGGAGATATAGCGACGAAAAATGTGACAGTGGTGGCAATTAAAACGAGGAGACCTTTCCTATTTCCTCGATGTTGTATGGTAGCGGCATTTTGGAGGACAACTTGAGGTGGATTGACTCTAGGAGAGCGTTTTGATTGACCTGATGAAACAAACATGACCTTGACGTTGGTGACGGTTGCGACAATGACGGATGTACAGCTTATGAGAAGGCTGGGGACGAGGCAGGGTCGAAAGGCGAGTCGCGTTGAGGAAAAGTCGGACAGGCATAGGTCGGTCTCGGCAAAGCCTCCACGGAGAGTGCTAAAGGCAGCGTTGGTGAGGACGATGGAGCAGATGACTGCGAGCACGACCCGGAAGCGTTTCATGGTGACCAGGGTGCAATAGCGAAGAGGGTAGACGACTGCGATGAAACGGTCAATGCACGCGCAGGCGATGAGGAGAGCAGAGAGACCGGTCAGCCCTGTACAGGCTGCCCATCCCACATAGCACAATATTTGGGAAATTAAGCCTCTATCCTTCCCGACGACCAGCCCAATCATAGTCAACCCGCAACAGAAAATACCCGTGAGAAAATCCGTGACGGCAAGTGACTTAAAAATGAATTGCGTCATGTCGCCGAAGCAGTTCTCCACTTTGTGGAGGATGACGATGATGAAAGTGCTACTGATCAGGGTAAGCACCAAACAGACTCCTAGAACTGTGACCTCGGATATACCCAGGATTGATAGGTACTCCCCGTTGTCGTATTGGTTTAAGAACGTTTCATTAAGGGAGCTTCCATTTTCGGCCATACTGACGCAACGCCAACGCTTTCCTTCTAATCCCTTTCCAACACTTATAGGACTCCAAAGGTATTTACTTGCGGCACTTGATAATTTCCTGAATAGAGCACAGCTTACTCATCTGCCATACGGAGCAGCATCTGTATAGTATTCCTCAAATTGTATTGTAATTACAAAACTAAGCAGAGACAGAGCAGATAAAAGTCTGACGCTCCAATCCAAAACATTTTCAACTGTGGGAACAGACATCAATCCACCAATTCAATTGCCGGCAATTCGACTAACACTAATGTTACAAAGTCATGCGACGAAAGTTGAAAGATAGTTACCTCACTGCTCCTCAAAACCTTTGGATCAGCTGCGCTAAAATGTCACTTTACGTTCGGATGGTACAAAGTTAATCCAATTGAACTAAGAAATGTTTTTCTTGCTATTCCTGGTGTATTATGTTGTTGTTACTATGCTCGCCAACTCCAAACTCCTCTGTAGAACAACCAGCAAAGGGTATAGATAAACTCCACCAATATATCACTCGGTCTGTTGTTAATCAGAATGATGAAGATGTTTGAATAATATGGTGTACATCAAAAACACGATTGGTTGATGAAGAAACTAATTTTCAATCCAGCCAACTAGCAGAGAAACACAGTGTATCAGAAAATTGTCACATACAATCCTCCGTTAGCTATGAGTTCTAAGATAGACCACCTTATTTTCAGCAGTTTTGAAGAAACTCAGTCGAGCGCTAACAGAGCCTCATTGTCCCTCTTTAGAATTAGTCTATTGGGAGGCTCTTAATCAATAATTGCAGCTCATGAGGTTGCGAGTTTCCGAGATAATTGGAGTTCTGATTCAGTTACATAATACCTCACTTGTATTGTATTGAATTGTATTGTATTCTTTTTTCGTCGTTTAAAAAAACATCAACATCACAATCATAAAGACACACTTATAAAAAAATAAAAAAAAGGAAGACGGAGGGATGGCCCTACTCGTTTACAGAGGGGTCCCTATAGACATAGAAAACATGAAAATAGATAGTACAGAAGTAAGGAAAACTTACAGCAAAATAAGAACTTACAATAATGATAGGAGCAAATTCGAGTAAAACAAGAAACATGAGATAAAAATAGTATACTGTTTTCACACTGCCAATATTTTGCTTAACCCCGTACTATAGTACTGTTTTCACACTGGCAATATTTTGCTTAACCCCGTACTAGGGTTAAAGGGTATCTTAACCCCACCTATAGTCCGGGCTTATTCCACTTTCTTTTCACAATGGCAAAGTGTTGCTTAACCCCGTACTATAGGTGGGGTTAAAGGGGGGTCTAATACTGTTTTCACACTGGCAATATTTTGCTTTACCCCGTACTATAGGTAGAGTTAAGGGGGGGGGGGGTCTTAGCCCCACTTATAGTACAGGGTTAGGCCTATTCAACTTTCTGTTCAGACTGGCTTTTACCAAAGTGGGCTAAAGTTGGCTAACCCCACCTATAGTACGGGGTTAACTAACCCTGCAAAATAGCAGGGCTAACCCCGCAATTGTGGTGCTAACTCCTGCTAACCCCGCAATTGCGGTGCCAAGCAAATGAATGAGAACAGAAACGAAAAATAGTCCGGTACTACGCAATGCGCAGCGTATCGCAGCTGGCCGGATGCGAAGTATGTCCAATCATAACATTCACGATATCCGGGGTTAACGAATTGCAGTGAGAACAGCGTGAATTTTCTTATTCCGGAATAGGCGCTAGTACGGGACTAAAAACAGCGTGTGAGAAAAGCCAAACAAAATAGTCCGGGGTTAAGGATATAGTACGAGGCTAAGCAAAGTACGGGGTTAAGCAAAGCCAGTGTGAAAAGAGTATCAGTGGTGGACACGCATCGTCAAATGCACGGTATACGCAAAACTGGCTTTGTACAAAGTTATCTAAAACGTGGAAACATGGACATATAACCTTGGAACTTCAAAGAGGACATAAAGACAACTCTTCAGGAGATATCATTATTTCCCTCTGGTTTGTACTTTCTAAGTAATCTGTGATTGATAGTCGTTTACTTTGTGTGTCTACTTGGAGTTTGAAATGAGGGATCATGCAATCATTCACCTGAGGGATCGGCTTGACAGAGTATCAGTATGGCTACTACTGAAGGCTACACCAATGTGACATTATCAGAAGGAGGAGCAGGAGGAGGAGGGGGTGGAACTTGGTTAAACATCACGGCCCTCAGTATCACCCAATTAGCTACCATACTTGGCGGGATTTGCTCGTCAGTGATGATCGTCATCAGTAACTTTCCTGATAATATTAAACAAAGTCAAGAACTGCTTTGAAGACATGCAGCAGTTCGTGTTTAAAGCACTTGCCGTTACGGACTTACTCACAGACAGGCATTTTGTGTTCCGGACTAACCATGATAACGATTATCTTTGGTGTTAACCAGCCATTTTCGTCGGCGATGTGTTCTATAAGAGGGGCAGCGTGCACAGGATTGACCAACCTTTCGGCTTTACTCATTGCCTGCGCCTGTTTTGACCGTTTTGTTGCTGTCATCTTTCCTCTTCGCTATTTTAATCTTGTCACGATGAAACGCGCAAGGATTGTTCTTCTGGTCGTATGCACGATCGCCGCCTCTAACGGGGCCTTGAGCTTACTACGGGGCAGGACGGTCGCCAAACACAACTTGTGCCTGTCAGATTTCTCGTCCGAGCGACTCGCCTTTAGACCAAGCCTGGTGACAAGCCTTCTCATCACTCTCCTCCTCACGTCCATCTCAAACATCAAGGTCATGTTGGTCGCTTCGGGTCAATCAAAATGTTTTGTAAATGCTTCCCATAGGAAAATCACAAGCGAGAGTGACAGTACCAAGCAAGACGCCATCCAAAACCGCCGTAGAAGCCTCAAAGGCCAACCCTGTGCACGTACGCTGCCCCTCTTATAGAACACATCGCCGACGAAAATGGCTGGTTAACACCAAAGATAATCGTTATCATGGTTAGTCCGGAACACAAAATGCCTGTCTGTGAGTAAGTCCGTAACGGCAAGTGCTTTAAACACGAACTGCTGCATGTCTTCAAAGCAGTTCTTGACTTTGTTTAATATTATCAGGATAAATATGTTACTGATGACGATCATCACTGACGAGCAAATCCCGCCAAGTATGGTAGCTAATTGGGTGATACTGAGGGCCGTGATGTTTAACCAAGTTCCACCCCCTCCTCCTCCTGCTCCTCCTTCTGATAATGTTACATTGGTGCAGGCGCGGATCCAGGATTTCTTATGGGAGGGGGCCCAACTTTTTTTTTTTTTGCTCCCGAAAATTTGAAAAACGCGCCGGCCAAAAATTCGCTCAGTGGGGGGGGGGGGGGGGGGGTAGTGAGCACATTTTTTTTCCTATTTGCACCCCCCCCCCCCCTTGAGCGCCAGGGGGGCCCCAACCCCCAAAAAAGGTAAAAATCACGTGATTTTTCATGATTTTTTTTCTCAAGGGGGGCCCGGGCCCCCCCCCCCCCGGATCCGCCACTGCATTGGTGTAGCCTTCAGTAGTAGCCATACTGATACTCTGTTAAGCCGATCCCTCAGGTGAATGATTGCATGATCCCTCATTTCAAACTCCAAGTATAGTTACTACTGTCGCCTTCTATGTTGCTATATTACCTTGGTGTATAGTTTCTGGGTCGCAGTTCAGCCAGAAAACTTCGATTGCGTCACCTATGGCTAGGTATGTGTCCAGTCTTTTGCTGGTGTCTAACAGTTGGATGAATGCTGTGATTTTTGCTACTTTTAACAAACAGTTTCGGAGAGGAGCCAAACGAGTGATATATCGCACCCAGTCGGACGGAGAGTTTACGATAGTGGAACACTCTTTAACATAATCCAAAACCTTATTCGGTCATTCCACTATCTAGTCTGGGAAACAGAAGTTAACACAATGTATGCATTCTTATGTTGTTGACTTAGGCTCTATTTTGAAGTATCAGGATTATTAATTTTCTATTTTTTAAACCCCGTTCATACTTTGTGACGGAAATACTAGTTCATGAGGAGAATTTCCGTTTGGTCCACAACCAGTTCGCCTACTACCCAATAACATATCATTTGGTATTATGACCATTTAGGCCAAGGGCCTTTTGGTATAATTTCAATTTGGTCTCATCTCCAATAAGTCTACTAACTATTTAGTCTATATTACTCATTCGGTCTAATATCCGGTCGGTCTTATTCCCAACTTGTCGAATATCCATTTTGTCTACTCTCCATAAGGTCTGATAATATTTTGATGATTATCATTATTTATGATTTATGAATCGGTTGGTACACGAACTGGTTGTACACAAAACGGCAAAACCCCGTTCATCATAATGTAATTAAAGGGAAATTTGAGTTTGGGTATAGAGAGCGCCACACAAAATATATTTTTTTTGGTGAGATAATGAAAAACTGAGTGTCAAATGTAAAAGGGTATACAATTTAAATGACAAAATCATCTTTTTTCGATCAAAATCGTTTCAGAGAATGCTGAAATATCATTAAATTGAACAATTTCTAATACATGTATTATTTTGTGGGGCTCCACAAATATTTGATAATTTTGAACCAGCCGTTGAAAATACGAGATATAGCTTCTTAAACGTTTTATTCAAGCCATTGCGGATGTTGGCTTTTTGTTGGCCTTTTCGTGCTGGTTATAATACGCACAACCAGCCAGTCCGTGTATTGTTATTATTAATTAATTGATTAATTAACGATCACCGTATATTTTTTGAAAGTGGAGCTAAATTGTTATGTTCGGATTTTATCTGAATTTCACACATTTTTTGGTCTAAAATTACCTTCGTAGCAATTCTAGGTCTTAAAATGGCACTAGAAATATCGTAAATAAGAATAAGAACAATAACCATGCACTTCGAAGGCATCTGTGGTCTTAAACAAGAACTCAACTGTCCCTTTAAAACAAAATGTTCATACGTATGAGACGCTCTTGGTGAATAACCATGACATAGTGAA